ATTTGAGCCAATAAATGCACATAGGATAGTAATTGGAATGATTATTTTGTAAGTATTAATAAGTGCTACGGAGTAGTTTTTAATGACTCAAACTATCTTAAAATAAAGGAAAAATTGATTGTAATAATCCCAACTATTGGCGTTCCGCTTATAATAATTCCAACTATCGATTATCTCAGAATAATCCTAACTATAGTGACCCTCCGCCAATAATGGTCCATGACCAGATATGACCTGCTATAACAAGTGAATTTTAAATAGAAATAAAGCGTAAAAATTAAAAGTTGAATTATTTATAGAGATTACTTGTTATATCTCTTCTCATCCACTTTAGAAACTATAGGAATTTATTTAGAGCCGGTCATGTCGGACCATTATTGGCGGAAGGTCACTAAAGTTGGGATTATTCTGAGATAATCGATAGTTGGGATTATTATAAGCGGACCACCAATAGTTGTGATTATTACAATCAATTTTTCCTAAAATAAAAGGTTGTAGTTGTTTGATAAGAAGCTTATATTACTGTTTAATTCAGTAACCAAGCATTCAAGTCCAGCTGGTTGTGAGGTTACTGTGCCTAGGGGTGGACCCAGCCGGTTCGATCCGGCCCGGAACCGGCCCGGCCCGCGCACTGTGCGGGCCCGGACCGGCCCGCCACTGTGCGGGCCCGGACCGGCCCGCCACTGTGCGGGCCCGGACCGGCTCGGTTGGTGCTAATCGGGCCCGGGCTTTTACCCGGTTGGGGAGGGTTGGGCGGGCCGGGCTCGGGATCTGTATTTGTTGAACCGGCCCGGATGGTTCGGGCCGGGCCCGAGCTTTTTTTTTTTCATTTTTTTGTTTTTCTTGGTTAGGGTTGGGTGTTTGGGGTGAAGGGGGGGGGGGGGGGGGGGGTTAATTAGAAAGCAAAAAAAAATTACCTTGACCCGGGCCCGGCCCGGCCCGGCCCGGTTAGGCCCGGACCCGGTATCAACCCGGGCCGGTTCTGAGCCCAACAATTTGAAAAAAAAAAGTCCGGCCTGGAACCGGAACTGGACCGGCCCGGGTCCATCCCTAACTGTGCCTTGTGGGAGTTCTCGAATTCGAAACACGCTAGGCACATAAGGGTTTGAAACTCAATGAAGTGAGTTTCAGTCCTGATTACTACAGGCCCCTTCCCCAAGACCTCACTGGAGTAAAAAAAAAAAGACCATTTAATTTAGTTATGTTTGGTACAAGTTGTTGTGACTTGTAACTAATGAAAGCTAAAAGTTGCATATTGTATTTTCAAAGTTGCATTTTTTTTCTCAGATGCTATTGTCGTGATCCAATTTGACTTGTTTAAATCTGATTTTGTCTGATCTGATATAATATGATCTGGTCGATCTAAACCTATTTTATTGAAAAATTCTTAAAAGTTGCATTATCAAAATTTGTCTAACAATATACTCTTTTTGTTCCACTAAGATTGTTTTATCTTTCCTTTTTTGTTCGTCCCAATGAGATTATCACATATCAAATTCAGTTACGTTTACATGATCCTAAATCTTTCTTACTTTACTCTTATTTTATCGATTCAAAATCAACAGTACATACTCATTTTTCTTAATAACCGACGTTCCAATGTTAGTGGGACAAAGCTACTGCAACATACAAGTACCTTAATGGACTTACCCTGCCTTATATGTTGTCTGTCTCCGTTAACTAACAGTACTTTCAAATAAGTTAAAATCTCTATCTAACGTGAAGCCGCCGTGTTTGATAGGTGGATAAGCAAAAACAAAATAAATAAATAAATAAATAAATAAATAAATAAATAAAACATGCACTATATTGAAACTTAACCCGTTCAAGTTCAAAAAAAAAATGGGGGAAAATAGTTTGATTAGTACGTGTTAACTTAAGGCTGTGAATGGAAAAGCAAGCTGGAGTTGGAGTTATTGTGTGGTTTAGAGAACATTGTCTTGAGCTAGATACTCCGCATAAGTGTAGAAATTAAAATACTATGGGAATGAACTAGACTTTGTTGGTAAGATAATTTAAATGCGTAAAAAATGTAAAATTACCAAAAATAAATGTTTTTATATAAAGGAATTAAATTTTGAATACATGAGTAAATTAAACTTGAAAGAGTTTGTGGTAAATTAAAGTGGTGAACAAAAATACTAATAAGATCTATTGAATGAACTTTTGGTAAATTGGATATTCAAAGTTCAAACACATGGAAGGAGAACTCATTCACTAATTCGCTCGCGGCTCGTCTCACACTAGGGAAAAAATTAGTGCACAAAAAATGTATACTCCCTACTTTTTTGTTACACACTTTCTAGTTGTCCGTGTACTAGAAAGCTTTAGTTGAGCTCGCGAGCCGCTCAAGATTGACCGGAAAGTATAGACATTAGAAACTTAAAACAAATCGAGTGTTGAAATCCGATGGAATACACACAAAAGTCTACCATGAAGGAGATTCGAACTCGGGCTGCTTACGAATCCTACAAGGGAAATTCCACCCCGTCTACCAACATGTTTTTGTACACTTTGATGTCATTTTATTTTACTCTTATCATAGTGAACTAACGAAAAAACTAATACTTACTTAATGTTATATACTACTATCCTCTGTTCCGTTTTAATCACAACATGTTGAATTTTACACTATTCACATGCTCTACTTTGACTATATTTTACGCTATTATTTTATGAAAATTATTTTTTAAAAAAAATATTGTTCAATTCATCTCATTACAAATATTCAAAATCTGATTTTTAATATATTTTTTACTAATAGAATTAAGATATAATTACGGTCAAAGACGTGTGTTGGCAAAAGTGAAATGTTGATCGTTGCAACTAAAAAAGAACGGAGGAAGTATGTAGTATTATAATTATTATAAATAATGATTATAATAATAAATACTGTTATATTTTACTATGTCTATTATAATATACGTAGTAATAAATATTAAAAATAGAGTTATCCTAAATAGAATAACTATTTCAAAAATATTATATACGTATATAATTATTATACAACATCTAGGCTTGCGAACCGGCTCGCGAGCCACGAGCCTAAAATTAATAGGCTTGACTCAAGCTTGTTTAGTATACGAGTCGAGCCGAACTCGAGCCGAACTTGAATATGACCGAACTCGAATCGAGTTTTTCCCGATCGATCCACGAGCGGTTCGCGAACAGCTTGGCTCGCTTGCACCCCTACATGTGAGTGTACATTGTATAAAAATACTTTTTGTATAAATCAAGAATAGGTCAACACTTGTATAAAAAATACTTGTTGTGTGCACCAAGAATCAGAATAAGTCCGAACTTTATTTGCCCTTCTATCATGAACTGCCCAAATCCAATGATCTAAACCATCAAACTGACTGTCTTTATTGTGTAATTATGAATAAGTTTGTTGGGCCTAAACTGTGAACTCAAATGTACCAAGTTTGCAGCATAATCATGTGAGTAGGGATGGGTACACATACACGAGAATAATTTGGTTCACCTGAACATCATCCCAACTCTATTGGGCTGTCACATGCCATGCCAATTGTTTAAACTTTTGAAAATGTTATAATTTTTCATCTTTTATTCTATTTTTTCAAAAATAATATCAATATTTTTTATTTTTATGATCTTTCATATGATACCAATATTGAATATGTAAAATTAAAAAAAAAATCAGCTAAAAATAGATTTAAGAAGAAAAAGATTTTTTTTCAATTTTTTTATATGAAAAATGAATACCATTGGAAAAATAATAAAAAATTATTAAATCTGATGTATTTTTTGTGAAAATCAGATTATATATAAAAAAATTATAATAATTTTAAGAAAAAAGATAATTGAAGTGACAAATGGCATGGATTGTATGGAGGGTGATGTTCACTTAGAGGCGTGAACAAAATGAGACTCCACATACACTACCACCAAGTACCAATTTTGATTATTAGTACTCCGTAATAGTTTTCTCCTTCCCATGAAAAGGACATGCACCTTTTAATCTAACAATAATTATCCAATTAGACAATAAGCCAGATTCTCTTACTCTGTAATCCGCAATGCGATTTCAGGTGTGTGCCTAATGAAATCTAGGTTCAAATCCCGACAACGGAAATGAAAGGTTATATACATAAGATCTGTGTAAATACTTGAGCCACAACTCATTCGCTATCTACCGCCCACCGGGGATGGAATGACATCCTTTTTTCCTAACCCCTGAGTGCTCAAATGTGAATGATTGTTCAAACAATTGGTGATTTCCTATTTAACAACCAAAACAAGAAGTGATCGAGTTCCTAAGAACCAGCAAAACCACTGTGCAATAATAACTAAGGTCGGTGATCTAATTGGTAGGCAATGGGCAAGAAATCATAGGCAGAAAGGTTAAATGAATGCCAAATTCAACTTTCGAAAAATAGAAGTGTAACACCATACTCTAAGTTCATTGCATTCACATTTAATATTCCCATGTCCTTAGCCTTACTCGTGTTGTGGTGTGTGGGGCTATAACAACAGCCATTGATTGACCTTGATGGGAAAGTAGAAAAAGTTGAAAACATACCTCAATGAAAGTCCATCTTTACACATGTTTTACTTATTAGTTTCACTTTTTCAGTATTTGGCATGTCTCTCCTTTTTTCTACTAACTATTACGAGCACTACTATTGCTATATAGTTCCTTTTCCTTTGGGAGACGTAAAAAACCTTCCCCATATTACCCATACAAGATCTTCTGATAAATACAACCAAATCTATCACATGTAGAAACTTTTACCCCTTGATAGTGTTTCACAAGGCCATGAAAACTATAGCCCCCACACAACCTGAGCTGGGCACGCCCCATGTGAGAAAACATTGCTAAATATCCAAATAATCCAACAATAGATGCAAAAACAGCTTATTGAAAGAAATGAGAATGGAATTGTACAAAATTCCACTCTTTCTTTTTTACTTAGATAAGATAAAGTGACAGCAACCTTAGCAAGCTAAAAGCAGAGCAAAAATGAGTTCAGAAATGGTAAAGATTCAATTTTTAAGACAAGGGTTTACACTAAAGCAGATCGTGGTAAGCTTAAAACAGAGATTTCCCATTTTCATTTCTTTCTTGTGATTCTTGACAACAAAGTAAAATGGGGAGTTATTGATTTATTGGGAATAGGGATTAGGGAAGTATGGAATTTCAATCTAAACATAATCCTGTGAATACCCAATTCTTCATTTTTTTTGTTTCCATACAACCGATCATCTAACCATTACAATACGTTACATGGAAATGATCACAGATTTCCATTTTAGAAAATATAGTACAGAAATAGACCAAGAAATATTGAAAAGCCAAATGTGGAAAATTTGGAAATCAGGAAGAGAAATGCGGACGGGGAGGTAGCAATTGGTGTGTCTGATGAACCTGGCTTGGAATGCCAAGATTGTGGCTCACCGTCCGGGAGCAGTGCTGCAAAATGAAAGGGTGGCGTAACAGATTCGCCGCCGTCCACCGTCGGGAAGGATCCCTCTGCAAACAACAAGCGATGAAATTTCTGAAGTCAGTAGACGCCGTGGGCGGCGCCTCCGGCGGGTCCGACATACAAATGGCGCACATGAGCGTCGCCCAGTCCCCCTGTCTCCCGCCGTTGAACGGAAACCTGCCCAGGTAAAATTCCAAGATGCTCACGCCCAAGCTCCATATATCTCCGGCGAACCCATTGTACTGGCCGTGATTCAGATCAGAGTTGATCCTCTCCGGGCTCATGTAGGCAATGGTGCCGACGGAGGAGTTGCAATCCATAGTCGCCGCAAGGATTCTCGAGACCCCGAAGTCGGCTATCTTCACCACGCTCTGGGAATTGGTGAGCAGATTTGAGGGCTTAATGTCACGGTGAACGATTTTCCGGCGGTGGAGGTACTCGAGGCCGGAGAGAATCTGTCGGGTGAGGTGGGCGAGCAAGGGCTCGCTGGGGATGTGGGTCCCTTCCAGAGATCCCTTGTCCATGAACTCGAGAAGGACTTGGATTTCGCCGTTGTGATCGGACATATCGTGACATTTAACGATGTTGGGGTCGTTGACGTCCCGGAGGATCTCAATCTCACGGCACATCTGCAGGCGGACGCCGTCCTCGTGGTGGCCGTGGATGACCTTCAGCGCGTACAGCCTGCCGCTCGGCCGGTGGAGCACCTTATACACCGTACCGCCGATCCCACTCCCGACGCGGGTTATGCGCTCCAGCTCGGAGAACTTGAGGGGCGTGGTCGGGAGAGGAGAGCGGGATTGGGTTGAAGAAGGGGCGGAAGTGGGCGGTAGTGGAAGAGGGACGGCTAATCTCGGGTCACGTTTCGGCGGCAGAGGGAGGGTCAAGTCGGGTTTCCGCCGATGGCGGTTGCGGTCCGCGGGCGGCGGTTGCGGCTGATTCGGGTTCATTGGCAATTGCTGCTATCTCTCTATGGGTTGACACGAATTGGCGGAATACAGAGAGTCTACTTTGAAATTGAAATCCTCTACTGAAAATAACAATTTGGAAAGTTCTTATTCGGGAGAAGCGAGAAATGGGAAGAACAGTACATGGCGGAATAAGTCAAAAAGAGTCGCCGGAGAGAAGCTTCGGAGAATGGAGCAGGAAAACAGCGGCGAAAGAGAAGAGAGGAAGAAATTATTTTCCAGATTTTGTTTTAGTGATGAGAAGATTAATAGACTGTGGTTGTGAAGTGGGTCAGGTTTGGGATACTGACATGGACGCCGACGGTATTGCTTTCGGTACTCCCCGCATGCTGAAATGACTTCATTACCCCCTGTTTATGAATCAATTGAAGATCAGTTTAATTTTGCAAGGGCACTTTAATAATAAAAATAAATACTGCAGTCTTGTAGAGTAATTGACACCGTAAATATTCAGGAGATGAATACAAATAGTTGGCCAAATTACCAAATTGAAAAAAAAAAAGGTACGATTGACATATATTGGCCTTGTTTGGTAAATGGTTGTTAGCTGTTGCTGGTAGCTGGTTGTGTCAGTTGTTTCGTAACAGCTGGTTGTGTTAGCTGTTTTAACCGACTGGTTATGTTGGCTGATTATAAATAATTGTTTGGTAAAATTGGCTCTTTCGAAATGGCTGATAGCGTGTAAATTGAACCAGCCAAATGAAGAAGTTGCTCCCCTTAGCTTCTTCCACAATCCATTTTTTCAGTTTTTCAAACTCAACAAGCTAATTTTAAAAGCCATTTACCAAACATTATTATTAGCTTCTTTGACCAATCAAACAGTTGAAATGGGTCAAACAAGCTAAAAGATGGCTGATAAGCCATTTGCCAAACATACCCATTGATAAAAAAAGGCTTCCATGATATATTGGTAAAAACAACTTCAACCACAAATTGGTCAATTTTTATGAGTGATACGGAGTATTTTTTTAGTTCTTGATTTAAGTTTTTCTCACATTAATCCTCTAAATATTGGATTGAGATTGTGTACTGTAGGGGTGTTCATCGGTTCAGTTTGGTCGTGATGGATAAGTGTACCCGGAGTATGTATCCGAATGGTTACTGCGGGGAGTAACTAGAGAGAAGTCAGAGCAAGAGAGAGAAAGTGTATTGAATTTATGAGTGAAAAGTGTATTCCCAATCTGGTTTACAAAGGAGAAAGGAGTTGCTATTTATAGCAGCAATAAATGCGAGAAGGGGACACGTGTCATGCATCCAACGGCCGAGGGGTCACATCTTTTTATATGTAATGTATACTCATTTGATATTTATATTATGCTCGTTTAAAAATATTTAATTAATGCACATTCCATAAGTTGTGTATTTTCATTCAGTGCTTATTTTTAAATATTATATCAATGTATACTATTTTTAAAAATTAACTCATTTGGATATAAGATAAAACACACTTCAGTAACTTTTACGCGTAATATATTCCTTACATTTCTTTTAAGCAGTACGGAGTACAATTGTAATTATCATAAACTTATAATATGAATTCAATACACACTTTTTTCGAACACTATACTCATTTAAATATAAAATCAAACTATTTTCTATAAAATTTGTTACGAATATAATATACTCATTAACACACCAATTCAATTATTTATTTAGATATATTTGTTGGAAAATTTTGAAAATGTCACTCAATGTTTAATTATTTTAAACGTTATACTCATTTAAATGTGGAATAACACTCATTGCAAAAACCTACCCATAAAATATATTCATTACAAACCAACTTAATAATAGAAATTAGATTCATTCACTAAATTGTCAATAGATTTAGCATTAAGAAATATACTAATTTTATTTGAAAAAGTGATTTATAATACGTTATTCTTGACATACAAAATACATTGTGCCCATCTTGTAATGTTTCGCTCATGTGCGTTTATTTTAAACACAATTAATCTAGTATAACACAAAAACTCATTTCAATAATTGACATTTAATAAATTAATTACAATAAATAATAGAATTAGCTTTATTTTCTTTTTGCTGAAGGAGTGATTAATTTGGGATTATTCATACATACATAAATAATACTACATCATTGGGACATGAGGGACTAATGAAGTTGTTAAGAAAAGTGAGCATGTGATTGATATTGAATTGATAATAAAGTAAGAATGATATAAAATCACACAAACTTTACTAAATTTGATATGGAGGAGACGTACAATGGTAGTGTGGCGGAGGGAATGCAAAGGTCAAACATAATCTTAGCTTGTATATCCATACCCTAATCAAAGAGCACCATATAGAAAATTAGATACCAAGGCATTGATGTACACATTTATCTAGTGCTTCAATGGTGGAGGAATAACATATACTCCCACCGTCCCGCAAAATAGTTCCCGGTTTTCTTTTTGGGTCGTTCCAAAAAATAGTTCTCATTTCCCCTTTTGAAAAGTTTTGTGTGACTCACATTCAATTATCTTTTTCTTACACAACGACAACCATACATTTTCATTTTGTTCTCACTTTTTAAACTCAAATTCAAGTCAATGAAGGAACTATTTTATGGGACCAACCGATCGAGTATTTATTTATTTTATATGTAGTATGACTTCTTGTAATTCACGATTCTTCAGCGTGCCGCTTCAGTGATATGATAGACACTGCATCCCATAATCCCATATCTCTTTCACTTGGTGAGCTTCGCCGAAGGTTTTTCAACTTAGTTGTTCCAGGAATAGAGAATCCATACGAGAGCAAGTTGAGGAGGCCGGCGAGCATTAATCCATGTTTCTTTGCCAGTTCTTCTAGACCAAAATATATGCCTTTGTTCTTTTCTAAATTCTGTGCACTAAACTTGTGATGTTTGTCCGAAGGTATTCTTATTGAAAAAATGGGTAGTGTACACATTTTGGATTAAGGCTGGGCAAAATTACGGAACCGGCATGGTACCGCACCGGACCGATATGGCACCGGACCGAATAACAGGGTTCAAAATGGTTCTCAAAATTTTTGTACCGGATCGAATCGTACCGGTTCCAAACCATGCCATGTCTGGTTCTCGTAAAATGAGAACCGGTACCGGACCGAACCGGACCGAATTATGATTTATATAATTAATAATTTATAATTACTGTTGTACATGTATACCATTTGATTACTCCTTCCGGTTTGCACTCTGAAGATAAAGAGGATATTTGACATTGAAGTTCTGTGATTTACTTAATTGTGTACTACTCCCTCTGTTCCGGTCATTTCTTCCAACTTTCCTTTTTAGACTGTCCCAATTAATTCTTCCAACTTCCACTTTTGGAAAATATATGTGGTTCACATTCATTCACTTTTTTCTTACACAACTACAACCATACATTTTCACTTTATTCTCACTATCTAAATTTGCGAGTCAAGTCAATTTAGGAAGAACTCAACGGGGCGGAGGGAGTACTATAGTTTAAGTGTTGGGGTAAATCACGTAGGGGGTGATAATCGAGTACTTGGATTGCTTAAGGATCGTGTAAGTTCACTTTCCGAATTGATATTTCTCCTTTATGCCTCGGTTACAAGAAATTCATTCTATGATAATCCTTAAGGACACTCTAGAACTTAGGCACAAGAACTAGAGCCAAACTAGTGAGTATATGGATTGATATCTTCAGTTGAATGCCAAAAATGATGAAAATATGTTGGATATGTTTCCTCATCATTCTCTGTACGAAATATGGTGATATATAACCATATTACAAGTCTTGGGCAGCTGCAACACGTTCTGGAATAACTGTGACAATTTTTGGAAAAACTGCACGAAACTGCCCAACCGCTCTAGACCTCGGTCTAGAACCACAGAGTTGGTCTACTGAGTGTTCTACCTCGAGTTCCATTGTCGTAGACACTTTGGAATAGAATTCGTTCTTATATACAAGTGTGCACTCCACACCTCCTAGCTTGTATTAGAACACGGTACTAATCCTCATTGGCACTCATGTCATTTCCAATTACACAAAACGGCCGGTGACACTAAAATCACCAACAATCCTCCCCCATTTTAGTGTAACCCATGAAATGACATAACAAAGTTCACAAACCAAAACTTGCACATAAATGGAAATGCCGATACGATTGAATTTTCATCTTAGTATTTTACACATTCAAAATATTCGAGAATCGGGGTGTCCTACGGATTGAACCCTTCAACCCATTTGAATACCTCAACATAAAATACATACAAGTTTCTATACTCAACTAGAATAAAAACTTGACACAATTATAAAGCCGTGTGTCCTAATCCCATTCATGATCGTATAAAAGCCAAGTCCCAAGCTTTTTGAAGTGCGGCTACACTTCACGATCATATAGGTAATTCCTTTACTCGTGTACCTGCTTACACTTTATCAAAGGAATTATTAAGAAATAAATTCAGCCTCCCTACTACAGGTCCGAACACACACCTTGGGATGATTTTCATTGTGTGTTTCAATCCATTAAGTGTGAGCTTTCCGCATTGAATTCAGCCTCTAATGTTGTATTAGAGGGGAATTGGGTGTCTCACCATTAAGGATTAAATGGACTTTAAACTCATCCCTATAACAGACTTGTGCACTAAGTCTCGGGCCAAACTTTTAGTCAAGTGGTCCGCCAAGTTATGTTGTGATCTTACAAATTACACCGAAATTACACCACTCATGATTAGTTCTCTAATCATACTATGTCTAACACCTAAGTGTCTAGACTTGCCATTATAAACATGACTATATGCCTTAGCCAAAGTGGCAGCACTATCACAATGGATAGAAATAGGTGCAATCGGCTTCCTCCACAATGGAATCTCAAATATTAAATTTCTTAACCACTCCGCCTCTTTACCGGCGGTAGCCAACGCAACAAACTCAGATTCCATTGTTGAACTATTGATACAAGTTTGCTTCTAGGATGCCCAAGAAATGGCATCTCCCCCAAGCAAAAATACCCAATCACTTGTAGAAGAATGATCCTCTACATTGGATATCCAACTTGCATCCGAATATCCTTCTAAAACTGAAGGATACTCAAAGTAACACAAACCATAATCCATGGTTCCCTTTAAATACTTGAACACTCTCTTCATTGCTTTCCAATGTTGAGTACTAGGATTACTAGTATAACGGCTCAACCTACCCACGGCATAAGCAATATCCAGCCTAGTGCTTGTCATGGCATACATCAAACTACCAATAGCTTGAGAGTACTCAAGTTGTGAACCCCCCTTTCCTTTATTAGGCATCAACTTCACACTAGGATCCATGGGAATACCAACGGGTAAACAATCACTATAATTAAACCTTTTGAGAATATTTTCAACATAGCGAGCTTGTGTCAAAGCAATCCCTTTGTTTACCCGTTTAATCCTTATACCAAGGATCACATCCGCCTCCCCCATGTCTTTCATGGAAAACCTTGATGATAACAACCTTTTGGTTTCATCAACCTGATTTTGGTCAGTTCCAAAAATCAGTATGTCATCAACATAGAGACATATGATCACACCCGCCCTTAAGGCATCAAATCGGTTATAGACACACTTGTCCGATTGGTTTAAACTAAAACCATTGGACAAAATAACTTCATCAAACTTTTG